AGTTTTTGCCGTACCTTGACTAAAATTTAAAAAGTAAATATATTTTTCTGGCCATTGGTTTAGCTTTGAGTGGAATACAGGCAATTAGTATACATTTTAATTTCCACAGCTTTTTCTCAACTCGCATTTCTTTTTTCCTTTCTAGTCCATTCAATTCGGTTAAGTCAATTTCTGCAATACTAAATTATAATTCAAATGCTTCGAAACTTCGGCTTTCAAATCAAGAGAAGTATAGTGCCAGATTCTTTTTTTGCCCGTTAAAAGCATGGTAATATTTTTTATAACACACACTTCACAAATTTTGATATAGCTTGAATTTGAATAATAATCGCTATGATATTCTACAACTGTCTAGCTATTTGCTCTATAACGAGAACGTACAAGCATGTGTTCTGGATGGTGTTCCAGGCATCGAAGCGCGGCTTCACATCGTCGTTTAGACGTGAACGGACCACAGCATACCCTTCGCTGATTTTTTTCTTCAGTTCATCTGCAAAAATAATTTCACCCCTTACATGGAAAAGGGCCAAATAGTAGCACTTTACCAACTGCTAAAACCAACGAGCAGCGACCCTCAAAAACCTCTACATCACCTTTGCCCAATAAAAAACACACTATAATATAAACAGAATAAAAAAAAGAAATCATATAATAAAAAAACAAAAAAATAAAACCAAAAAAACAAACAGAACTAAAAAAATTTATTATATGATTTAATTTTAATTTTGTTTAGTGGGTCTGTTTTGTTAATTTTTCCTGAAGATTGTTTGAGAAATAGACACGGTCTAGTTAAGGAATCGTGGAAAGATTAGTTTTTCTGCTGGCGAATTTCAGTCTTAGTACTTTGGCTCTTAAAACTGCGCCAAGGCTGTCCTTAACACTGTAAAATTTACCGGTGCATGATGACGGCGGGCGCGACTTGTAATTACCCATTGCTTCAGGCGTCACATTGAAAAGGAAAAAACGAAGAGCACTTAAAGCCTCTGGACGCTAACTACAGCGAAAGAGCGAGAGCTAGCTGCAGATGCTTCACCAGGGCTAATGTTGCTGCTGCTAGCACTGCCGCTACTACTACTGCTGCAGCACAAATTGTTCAGGAGCACTACTGCTTTCAAACCCTCTCGTTTTCTAATTCTTTTAGCAGCAGAACTCTAGCTGCTCCACTGCTCAGCACATTGAAATCTCCGATATTCCTGAACTATACGAAATCGATTTAGTGTCATGGTCTACTGGTTCTTCACGGTATTTTCAAGCAAATCTGACCAGTACCAGCTACTAGCTTTGCAAATAATCCCTCCTGTGCAAATCCCGATTACAATCACTGGGGTTGGATGCGCACTTGAAAGGCAAACTAGTGCCTTTATGTTTTTGGTAAGTTTACCTATCTTTATGGGTTTTTGTTGTGCAGCGCTATAGCACCGCTACTGCGAGCAAAAACGCATATTGTCGAGAGGTCGTCTGTCTGCGTGTTTGGAAGTGAGTGAACGCTGTCACCCACTTTCAACTCAGCAGCCACGAAAGCTGGGAGGCTGAAATATTGGATTTATTTTCCTACCCCGCGTGTCATCCTCCCGTTTTAAAATTTTTGCTCATATGCGCCTAGTCCCCCGTACGGACCCCGGAAAAAAATATGCAAAATTTTTAGTGGGAAACGATTTCACGAACCAAGCAAAGTACGAAGCTGAATTTTTGCAGGGATATTCCCCGCGCATGTGCGAACTAAAGATTCCAAATTTAGCTGTCGCGCACTCCTGTGCAACACGTACCATTAAGCCAAAATTTGCAACATGGTACTGTACTAGTTCAAAAACTTGCGGGAATACCGTGGTTAAAATTTTTCCAACATATTTGTCGCCTCCATAGGAAATCTTATACCTAAAATGAGTACCGAATTGTACTTGAACAACGGTTTAGGGCACATCAAAGATATTTGTAGTAAAGCGGCTATTTCGCTTACCGGATAAGGTACGGAGCTGAAACTTCACAGGGATAATCTGCTTTCAAATGGTTCGGCTTGGAAGCGAATTCCCCTGCGGGTAGGCATAAGAAATACTCAACTTTACCAAAAAATCAGAAACGAGTACATTTTGCAGCGAACGACCGCCCTCATCCTCTCCCACTTTGTAAATGAACTCATTCACATATTTGAATTTTTTGACGAACGACCGCTTTCGCAACGTTTCCACTTTCCAGTGAACTGAAAGCTTTCACTTTTTCGAACAGCGAGTATTTGCCAGAAAAACGACCGGGCTTCGTGTAAAAAACTGGTAATCATGCACCTGAAGCTCCATGCGGCCCTATAACGCAACAACATCATCCCAGCCGAGGCTGTTCCTTCTACATGTCAGAAGAGGCCAAAGCACGGCCAATTTGAGTCCAGGTATTAGGGCACAGGGCAAAGATTATTCCTGCTATTAGCGATCTGCGAGTTTAAAATAGCATGATCATACCGGCAAGCCTGGTGCATTCCAGCCTCGGTTAAGCATATATTTAGGGAAAGAAAATTATTCAACGGGAAAACAAGACGCTAAATACTGAAACTGCATTACAATTGTATCTTAATGGTAAAAAAATGTGGATGGCACCTTGACGATCAGAAATCCAATTGCACCTAAAGTCTTAGTCCATAGTTCTTACAAAGTTTCGAATTGATAAAAATCTTGCTTTTTTTTGTTTCTGGATTGAGCCTACACAGTGCTGACTGAAGGGTGTGTAAAAAAAATTTATCAC